CGTTTGTTTAAGTATGTACTCATTGCAATTCTTTGAAAGACGTTTGTCACGGAGCGTCTGTTTTTCGTTTCGTTCAGAACGTCCAGCAGAGTTTTCCCACGTTTTAATGGTGTGACAGGTATCGCTGTCAACACTTAGGTAACTGTAACTGAAACACTGGCCAGTTGAGTGACTTTTCTTGTTTTCATAGGTAATTGTTAATTGAAATTATAATATACTGCACTTTTTTCATGTAACAGCTAAACAGGATATCAACAATACACGGACGTCTGATCACTGAATTGGCATTCGATATAGACATTCTGTTCGATATAGAAAAAATTTGCTGATGTTTCATAATGGAATAGGCGCAGACACTAAAAAAATCCCTGTTGCTGATTGACTCTTAAATGAAATGCGATTATGTCAGATATTTTATTTAATGGTAAATAATTAGCAATAAATTATTAATCGAAACTTTTTCATTGTGCCTCATTTTATTGTCTTTTACTTCAGTAATGATATTTAACCCTCCGTCGGTCGGCGTGGTCTGGCCAGACTTTTTTCGACTTCAATTTAAAAAAAAAATACTTCTAGTAATCCTATCGACTTGAAATTTTTGACCTTTCCTAAAATTTCATTAGCTGTCGATTAATGAAAAAATCAGGACGAAAAAATGTACAGAAGGATAATTATAAGGATTTTATTTTTTTATACTTCGAATGGTCGGAGTGGTCTGCCTAGACCACCTATACATTTTGTATGAAATATACGCTTTTTGATATATGTATACCAGTATTTTGTCTTTTTTCTGGTATTTTCTATTCAAACTGCATTTTATATATTCTTTGCTATTTGTTGTAACATGAATGTTAGTATTTTCACGACGAGAGTCCATTGAAAACCTACCAAACTTATTGGTCATCGCAAACATTGAAAATCGGATGAGTAATGCGCACATTATCAACAATTTTTCTACCCGTACTGCATTCGAATTTTTTTTGGCAAACCTGTACTGAAATTATATTTTCAACTTGAATTTTACAGCTCATTTCAAAGGCGACGCACCTCATTTCGTTTTCATTTGAATTTCACATTTATTTCGAAGAAGCCGAAAAAGAATAAATCTTGTTTTTCATTGATATAAAACAGAAAAACAAAAATAATAAAAAAAGCAACGATTTTTTTATATTCTTTGATTTTTGTATGTAATAATATATATATATAATTTTTTTTATTATAAGCAAGCTCAACACATGCAAAAGACGGTAAAAAAAGAAAAAATCTATTTACTACTATAATATTAGTTAATATATAAGACACTAAAACACTCATTTATCCCGTAGAAATGCATGTAAAATGAATGGTGGTCCAGCCAGACCACTCCGACCATTCGAAGGTGAAAAAATATCGGACCGGCGGAGGGTTAATAATTTCATTAAGATAATTCGTTCAGTGACGCTTTTATGATGTGTATATATTGTAAAAAGCACCTACGTAATAAATCGTGCCCACTTAATGCATAGGGCGATTATGCCACTACAGGAAATGTAGCATTGTTCTTATCCGCCCAGGTGCAGCAAGTGACATCATTAAATAG